ACTACGCTGGACTGGCCATGTTACCCGCATGTACGACAGTAGACTGCCAAAGCAGCTACTTTACAGTCACCTAACGAATAGTAAACGTAACGCTGGCGGGCAACTGAAAAGATATAAGGATAGTCTTAAGACAAAGCTGAAAAAGTGCCAAATCGACCCCCTCACCTGGGAGACGATTACTCCACACCGTAACGCCTGGAGGAGCACCACACGAGAAGGTGTCAATACTTTTGAGTTAACCCGATTGCATAACGAGGCAGACAAGCGCCAACGCCGGAAAGACGCTGCCGCCGCCCCTCCGGCACTAGATGTGGCCCCCGATATGTGCAACATCTGCGATCGACCCTGCGGGTACCGTATCGGCCTCTTTAGTCACCTCAAAACTCACCAACCTAGGCGACATCCTTAATAAATCACATCACCGTATCATAGCTGGATGATCGTCATACTCGATTCCTAGTGACAGCAAAGTAGTAGTAGTAGTAGTAGTAGTAGTAGCATGAGGGGTGAAGGAGTGAAGAGTTAGGAGTATCAGATATGAGGGGTATGAGGTGTAAGGGATATATTATGAGGGGTTATGATAAGTAAATTATAGTTTGTACTACTTTGTTACTTTGTTTATAATATGTACAACTTAAAGCATTCAGTTAATTGTAGTTTGTGTTATTTCTTGTTTTACTTTTGTTTATAACCCACACACCACAACACACTCTACCACTGAGAGAGTAAACCACACAGCGCCAGTCTTTAAACCAGCCCCTCCAAGACCAGGGTCCTCCCTACCTACCTCACCAACCAGGAATTAAGTCGAGCGAGTGAGCCCTTGGCGAGTACAGCGCCATCAAATAGAGCATCAGCGAGTGCCTCCCCTCCTCCTCCTCCTTTCAAGCTTATAGTTTCTCCCTTCCTCTTCCTCTTCCTCCTCCTCCTTTCAAGCTTATAGTTTCTTCCTTCCTCTTCCTCCTCCTCCTCTTCCTCTTTCCTAGCTTATAGCCTCTCCCTTCCTCCTCCTTCTAGTCCCTCCGCCACCCCCCAGTCCTTTCTAACCTAGCCCTTCCCCATCTAGCCCCCTCCTTCTATCCTAGCCCCTCCCCCTTTCTAGCCTAGCCCCTCTCCTCTTCCTTCTAGCTCCACTCCCTTCAAGCCATTTCCCCACTCCATAACCCTTTCTACCCTAGCCCTTCCCCTCCTACTTCTAGCCCCTCTCCGAAGCCCTTTCTACCCTAGCCCCACCCCCTTCTAGCCACTCCCCACCCTATTCTAG